GAAATTATGCGATTACCATTTACACCAGTAGGATTTAGAATTTTAAGATTTGGAGTCTAAACAATTATAATTAATGGTAATTTGCAAATGGACAATCCATAGTAGTATTTTTGCAAATGTACATACCAAAAATGGTATTTTTGCAATTGTTCCCTAAATATATATATATATTGTGTGATTAAATCTTACTAAATTTGCTTGATAATTTTAAAATAATATTGTAATATTTTAAAAATTAGGTTTGTTAAACAAAAATTATGTATATAAATTTGTTTTATCAATCTATTAATTTATTTAAAGGCCAATTGCAAAAATATCACTTTGGTATGTACATTTGCAAAAATGCCACTTAGGAACGTCTATTTGCAAAAATACTACTAGTTATGGATTTTTAAAACCTAAATCTTAAAATTATAACCCTAAAAAATGTTTTAACTTTTAAAACCCCTTAAACCCTCAAAACTAAACTCTAATACAACATAGCTAACATAAACATAAATGATATAATGAATTTTTTTTGTTGAAAAAGTGGCATTTTCACAAAGATTTTGAAAATGTTGCATTTTTTAAAAGTGGTATTTTTTGAAAATTTTCTTTATTTAATTAATTATTTTTTCAAAAATTCAGTAGATTCAGCAAATTTTGCAAATTCCGCAGTTACCATTTAAATTTGACATTATTCAGCAAATTTCGCAAGAAATCACTAAAAATTCAGCAAATTATATAATTCCGCAGAAATTCAGTAAAAATTTTGCAGTTACCATTTAGACCCAAGTTTGATATTATTCAGCAAATTCCGCAAAAAATCGCTAAAAATTCAGCAAATTCAACAACTCAACAGTAATTCAGCAAAAATTCAGCGGTTACCATTTACACCCAGAACATCACTTATCATAAAGTGATGTACATTTAGAATATTATATCTAGTTATGCTTCTGTATCTATATAAATTAATCCTTAATTTGCGTATTTCCAAACAAAATATATTTTCCCACAGTGGAATTCATATTCCTTGTATAACTTGCTTTGTCAACGATTTTCTTATTATATTCTGACTTGTGTTTGAATTTAAAATTATACTATTATAACCATAAAAATCAGTTGACTATTGGGTCCCATTTTCTCCTCCTCCGGGTAATCTCACAACCGCATGAGTCGCATGTGTTCTTCTCCGCACTAAACGGCGTCGTTTCTAAGTCTTCACATTTTTTAAACTGCTTGCCAAAATCTCCCCCAAATTCTCTCTGGTTTTTCTCGAGAAAATCTTCTCTCCTCTATTCACTTCCCTGAGTTTGCGTGATACAGCGAACGAATTTGAATCTGAATCTGGGCTAACAATCAACTGATGGATCTCAGGAGAGCAGGGAGCCCAGTGTACGGTCGCCAATGGAGCCGATCATCTAACGGTACGGAATCGAGGTCACCGTCGATGTCTCCGGCTCACCGGAAACAGCAACTCGATGGTGTTGGTGGGTTTTCCACTGTTAATCGAACCCAGAACGTAGCCACTAAAGCGGCGGCTCAACGGCTAGCGAAGGTTATGGCTTTACAGAACAAGGACAATGATGAAGACGATGATGAAGATCACGGATTCAAATTCGCTGCTCCTTCTTCTACCATCAACGGCAATAGTAACTTACCGGCGGTTTCCTTCGCTCGCCGGAATCGATCGCAATCACCGGCGGTAAAGTTCCGTGATTTAAGGATTCTGAGAAAGAAACCGGATCTGTGCTTTATTTGATTATGAGATTGAGCTTTTGCATTTTCGTTCGTTGAGGCTAATTGGTGTTGTTGTTTTCGTTTTCATGGTTTGATTAGATTGGCAGAAACCCAACTGAGCAAGTGACTTCAGTGCGTTCTTCTTCTACTGGAAGACCATCAACGTTTGGTAGATCCATAGCTCCGAATGCGTCTCCGATTTGGATGCCGCCTAAGGCAACAATGAAACCTCCACTTGATCATCCTCCATTTAAGGACAGAGATCAAAGGTGAAGAAGGTTATCACTTTGAAAGTTTTGAAATTGCGCTTTTTTTATTGTAGTCAATGGAATATGTTGCATAGTGGAATTTGTCTGACTAAAAGTCACTAGAGTCCTCAAATCCTGTTATGATGTGTTGCTTGTGCCTAAATCCATAACTTCGACGTTTTCAGATATTTTGGTGATGAACCGTTGGTAAACTCGACAGATAAGGGGTATCAGCATGAAGCTTCAGCTCTTCGTGATGAAGTAAGTGGACATTTTCTTTTTAGCCTCTGGATTATCTTGTATATGCAGATTGAAGTTAAATATAAAAGAAAATGTCAGAAGATTTTGACTTGAGGCTGACTTTGCAGCTGGATATGCTACAAGAGGAGAATGAGATTGTATTGGAGAAGGTTTTGTGGTCTTGTCACTGTATTTTTTTTTCATAAATAATAAGCTGTCTTCCTCTGTCATTAATAACAATTGTTCTGTATTACAGCTTCACCATGCAGAAGAAAAACGCGAGGCAGCAGAAGCCAGGGCTAGAGAGCTGGAGAAACAGGTTTGTGTAGTGACTAGTGAGAGTAGGCAAAATGTAATTACATAACACTATAAGTAAAGATTATGAAACCCGGTGGAAACATATAGTGTGTTTGATTGACCAAACATATATGCAAATACAATGAAGTTATACTCTGATATCAGTATTATTAGTGACAAACCAAGTAGACAGTTTCAAGGCCAAAATGCAATGAACTTATACTCTATGTCTAGGACAAGTAGATGTCATGGAATCTGCATACATATAAAAAAACAATATGTGGAATGACATGTATGCACGTGTTGGCATCTCTTGAATGATTCATTTGTTTTTTTTTTCCTCTTGTCCCAAAAGGTTGCTTCTCTTGGAGAAGGAGTGTCTTTGGAGGCCAAGTTGTTAAGTAGGTGTGAGCCTGTGACCTCTTGTTTTTTTTTTTATTCTCTTCTTTAGAAGATACAGCAGTAGTTATGAACTTATGTGGCTCATGGTAAATTGTGTTTTCCTTCAGGAAGGAAGCAGCATTGCGCCAAAGAGAGGTTAGTGTGTAGAAGAATAAATATATGTTTTGTATTCATTGGTCGAGCCCGCATTTCTACTATTCTGATGCCACATAAGTCATAGATAGACATTTTTGTGTTGCCTAGCAATTTAAAATGAATGGGTAGCATAATGATACCTGCTACAGGCTGCTCTCAAGGCTGCTAAAGAGAAAAAAGATGGGAAAAAAGAGGAAGTTGTTTCCCTCCGTTCAGAACTTCAGGTAAGTTATACTGTTATTCTGGTTTCATATTATGTGTGATATTCTGATCTGCATGATGAAATCATGTCTTTATGTTCAGATCCTGAAGGATGAAGCTGCAACAGCTGCGGAACAGCTTCGAGAAGCAGAGTCAGAAGCAAAGGCTCTTCGTACAATGACTCAAAGAATGGTCTTAACACAGGACGAAATGGTACGTTGAGAAAGCCCAGGTCTCATTATCATTTATCTTTATTGATTTCTGAATAAGGGAAAAAACCGATAATCTAGGAGGAAGTAGCTTTGAAGAGATGCTGGCTTGCCCGGTATTGGGGTTTGGCAGTGCAGCATGGTAAGTGATGCATCCATTCTGTAACATAATAAAATTCATTTTTCTTGCGATGTTAAGTTTCTGAACTTGAGAATGTGTTCTCATGATACTTACCTTTCTCTAATATTAGTTAAAGGCTTATAGTTGTGGTGAGGTAGTTATTCATTAAAATACTATGGCCTTTGTATGTAGGCATTTGTGCTGATATAGCACCTTCCAGGCATGAAAGCTGGTCAGCTTTGGCTCCTCTTCCTTTTGAGCTTGTCATATCTGCAGCACAAAAGGCCAAGGAGTTATCTCGGGATCAAGGCTAGTCTAAATATTTGCTATACTCATAAAATGGCCGAGGTTTCCCTGATACTGTTGCTAGCATCATCTTATTTACCAGTCTTTGGAATTGATCAGGTGGGAGTGATCAGAGCAAAACTGATAGATTTTTAAGTGAGCTAACTGGAGAAGGAAATATCGAAAGTATGCTTTCAGTGGAGATGGGTTTGAGAGAGCTAGCGTCCTTAAAGGTATCATCTACCCTTGTTTCTGAATTTAAGTTCTACATGATGCACCTAGCTTACTTCCACGTGCGACCTCTCCAAGTACATTTTCTAAGATCGTATATCACAATGAAATTTAGGTTGAAGATGCTGTTATGCTTGCATTTGCCCAGAAGAGAACACCGAGTTTGGTTCGGCAAGGTATGTATATATATTTGCAAGCTATATCATCATCTATTAGTACACAATGACAAATATAGTCTGGTTTTGTACTAGACTTACAATTTTCCAACCATTTTTCTCTCTGTTGAGATACTCGCACTTTGAAGTTATTTCATGTCCACATAAACGCTGCACATTGCTACTTGTTTCTGTTTCCAAAATGATTTGTCCCTTCCCTGACTTGTGCACTAAAGTTTTGTTTTCTCCCATCTTACAGATTCTAAAGGGCACGGAGAACTCAAATTTGTAGAGACATACGGTAAGTTATCACTCAGAGACAATGGCCTTGTAGGTTGTTTAATCAAACTTCATGAAATTCTTAGCAAGTTATCACATTTCTCAAATGCAGAACTGAAAGAAGGAGAACAAGAAGATGTCGCCTTTAAGCAGGTAATTTCTTTATGCGGCACGATTCATAACTAAAAGGCCTTGTGCAGTCAGGTTGTTCTAGAAGTTGCCTACTCTGTTCACTTGCTCATGAATCAACTATATTATTATATATAAAGGTATGAACCAATGTGGGTTGATTAAACATATTTGCAGGCGTGGCTGATGTACTTCTGGGGTAGAGCCAAATTGCACGGCGTAGAAGAAGACATTGCCGATGAACGTCTCCAGTTTTGGATCAGCCGAAGCGGAGAAAAATCTCTAACTTCTCACGATGCTATTGACGGTACTAAGCTTCTTCAGTTAGTTTCCTCCTACGTCTGATTCTAATATCACAAACAACATATTAAGACTAAACTTTGTTCTCGTTTACAGTGGAACGAGGTTTGTTAGAGCTAAGGAAACTAGGAATAGAGCAGCAATTGTGGGAAGCTTGTCGCAAAGAAACCGATCAGCATCTTCCATCTTCTTATCCTACTTCTACTCTCTCAAATCACAACAACCTCGACTCTAATTCATAGATTATCAATAGAATAAATGTTTTGTATAAAGAAAACATATCTTAAATTATTGTAACATCTCAATTCTTATAATCTTTAAGTCTTAAACCCAAAAAAGAAGAAGAAGAAGCGCTGCTAAAAGTCTAGCCATTTCTGGAAATAATCACATGTGGTCGGGGAGATAACCCCGTCGGGTGAACAAAGCGCTATATGCGGACAAGCCCCGCAAGGAACGGAAGCAAAAGCTCCAGCTCTTGCTTTGCCATTATCGGATTTTCTACCCGTCAATTTGTAGCAAACTTGTCCGATTCTTGTAGAGGAAAACTCACCAAGTCCATTGCTCGTCACCTCCATGATCACATTATCCAAAACCAAGTTCTTGAGTATCTGCTTGACCTGCTCTCGAGTCAATTTATCCTTGGTCTTTTCGAAATATGTAGACAGAATCTCAAACGTAACAACCCTGTCCTTTGCGCTATCCAGTATGGCCACACAGATGCCCTTGAGATCCTCGATTTTTTCGATATTAAGAGTTCCGTCATTGTACCAATCCCCACCTGTAAGCTCCTTACAAGGAGCAAACTCCACTGCTAGAAAATGTTTGATACCTTTGTTGTTAATGTTTGGAACCTCTTTGATTAGATGGTTCTTCTTGAGAGACGCGATTGATCGAGTTATCAGAGCTGGTACGATCTTTGTCTCTAATTTCATCTCGAATGTAGTTGCTCCCATCCCTTCCTTGCTCCGAATCAGATCTAGAAGCTTATTCTCGTCTTCCTTTAGACCACCGATTGATGATTTCGACTCCGCTCGTTTTCGTTTACTCATTTCTCCTCCCTCTCTCTAATCACACACTTCAAAAGCAGCAAATTAAATCCCTGTTACGAAAAACAAAAAAAAAGACCTAGAGATTACAAGCGTTTTGCTCAAGATCAGATTCAATCAATTTACCTGGAGATTTAGTTTCGCAGAGAAGACAGATTCTTGGGGATGAATAATGAGAATCAATCCGGCGAAGTCGGAATCCTGCGAGAATCTACTGGAACAGAAGGGAAAAAAGCAGCGACAAGAGAATAAAAACCCTAGGTCTCTTCTTTTTCGGCTTATTTTCATACTAATAATTAAACCAAAATTGGGCTAGTGATTAATTTGAGAAATTAGCAAAATTAAAACTGACCAACAAAATATTAATAAGTCAATAATCAAAGTTTTTAAGATAATTAAAGAGAAGTACAGGGTCTTTCTTGCAATTTTAATTTTTAAATATCCGTCTTCTTTCTTCATCCAAAGAAGGTACCGTATAATTATTATACCTTGCGACTTGCTCTCTGAGATTTGAAGAAAGAGACATTTCCAAAGAAAGCTTTTTCAATGGCGGAAGCTGAGAAGAAGCGATATCAATCATTTTCTCAGGTCAATCCCTTCTTTTCCCCCAAATTTAGTAAATCTATCTTCATCATCACACACACACCCCCACATTTTTTTTTCTAGTAATATAACCAGA